CATGTAAACTACACATCACAGCCATGAGGCCAGATCAATGAAACCAGGATACATCCTTTACCGTAAAAACTGGATCCAAACACAGCTGCCTGTGTGCGCTTGATCAATACTTTCTGATGTTATATTTATGATATGCTACATATTAGCTAGGCTACATGGCACTAACGTGTACAGTTATACAAGCATTTGTACCAGTGCTTTTCACAAGTAGACTCTTGCAGGCCAGAGTATAGGAGTGATTCAACAACAGCAAAAAGACATATGAGAAGTGATCAGGACGAACAGAAAGAGGAAAAGGAAAAGAGAGATGAAGAGACCAGGAGGGTCAGAGCAGGAGGAAGAGGAGGAGATGAAGAGACCAGGAGGGTCAGAGCAGGAGGAAGAGGATGAGATGAAGAGACCAGGAGGGTCAGAGCAGGAGGAAGAGGAGGAGATTAAGAGACCAGGAGGGTCAGAGCAGGAGGAGGAGATGAAGACATTGGTGAAGAAGAAGAAATGTATGTGAGGAATAAAGATGAAGTGTCAGAAAGAGGGCCAGAGGCAGGGATCAGGAGGCAGATGAAACTCCAGCTGGACCACATGGTATGTTCTTATTCTCCTTACATATTCCATTACAGCAGCACAATCTAGCAGCTCTTAGTATTGACTAATATTGATTGAAATGTGTTGCTGCACAGGTCACCTGTAGCTCTCTGAAGAGATGGGTGATGTCATTTCTGTACTTAATTATAATTAAGTACTTACGGTATGCAGAATTCTGAGTATTCTCTGAATCGGGTGCCTTTTGGGTCTTTATATCTTTGAAAAATGAAACCAAAATGTTTGGTCATAACATCTGGTAGTGGACTACTTACATGTTCCCACCTCAGGCACACAATATAAATAATTACTAGGAATTTCCTTGAAAAAATGTAACATGGTTGAAGTTTTTGACAAAAAGTAGGCATGATACCTTGTTTAGCTAAGATATGGCACCACATGGAAGTCAAGGACATTACAACATTGTAATATTTTGCAAAACTATTGTTTATTTTTGTAATAAACAATAGTTAAAATGTTGAGCTTGTCAATCTTAATCTGAAAATACAAAAACTGAAATATAGGTAAGAGAAGAAACTGACACTTTTGTGATGTAATTCCCTGAATGCAGATCACACATGGTCTGATCCACACACGGACTGATCCACACACGGACTGATCCACACACGGTCTGATCACACATGGTCTGATCCACACATGGACTGATCCACTATTTTAATAGGAGGGTAAATGGTATGGCGTGACGGGGTTGAAACAAACTGAGTGACAATATTGCAATTTCATAGATAATTCAAGTATTTTTTCTGAATTGATTTTTGATCAGTTAAAGTTGACAGGCATGTGATTATATTAGCAGCAACATGTTGGGATAATTGGCCATTTTGATTTGTTTAATATTAAATTAATATGTAATAATGCTTAGTGAGGACATGCAAATATGTCTGTCTAAGACAACCAATTTTTTTAAAACAAAATATATATTTAAATTTACATTGCTTTAAAATACATTTTGTAGTTTCCTTTCATTTAAAATGGTTGAGGTAAGCTTGGGGGACTCAAAGGGCACCCTATTGTTTGTCTGAACACCTTGTTTCTCTTGTGCATTAAAAACACTTGTGTTAGGGCATGAATTAACAATAAATAGGTTATATACAGTATAAAATACCACGTACCGCCCTCCTATGCCACCCTGGCATGACCTCTTGCCCCCCCTTTTCCCCCCCATGTAAAATGTTCTAGAACCGCCACTGCACCAAGGTAACAGTCAACATGGAGTCTGGCAACACACCATGAGTCATGAGGCCGGTAAAACAAATGGCAAGAACAACTGCAACCTTCGGGCTTGCCAGTTTAAGGTGCTCTGCAGTGATTCGGTCAGAGCCGCTTGCTTTGTTATCAGCTAGCTGCGCAATTGCTCGATAAACCTCTTTAGCTGTGATTCCCACTGTGTCACTTTTCACAACATTACCAACCTTATAGGGGTCACTTTTAACACAATTAAGTATAGTAGAGTAATGTTGCCTCCACAACTCAGCTATGTTATCGGCTCCAGATACTCCCTATATGGTACACGGTAACAACGTTCAGAGCTCTCACCTCCTTCCAGAAGCCAGTCACATCATTATGAAGGAGCTTTTCAGCCATAGAATCTGCTCTTAATGTTTCTGTATGTTTGTTGACATAACGAACTGCATATTTATATCTAGCATTCGTAAGCTTTTTGAGATCCAGGATCTGCGCCGCGGTTTTGGTCCGGCCTCCTCCGGCGTCATACCCTACCGGGCGCATTTCAGAAGCATTTCAGAAGCGGAGCGTCTTGCCTGCCGGCTCGTAGTTTTTGTTGATTTGGGCATATTTCCTGGACAGGCTATTTTGTACAGACAAAGTTAATAATAATTGTAATATTCCAGTTATAAACGACATGATCATCATCATAATTATTCTATATATAATTTACACACTGCCTGTAAACCGGAGGAGAACGCTGGCATTTCTCCTCCTACTTGAAAGACTACGGAGGGATAGGGTCTGCAACATTTGTTTATTTTGGGGATTGACTGGATGCTCTGACGGGTCCACTTCCTGCCCCGCGCCTCTGCAATGTGTGCAAATAAATTCTTTAAAAATCAGACAATGTGATTTTCTGGATTTTTTTTTTCTTTTTCGCATTTTGTCTCATAGTTGAGGTGTACCTAGAATGAACATTACAGGCCTCTCTCATCTTTTTAAGTGGGAGAACTTGCACCATTGGTGGCTGACTAAATACTTTTTTGCCCCACTGTACATTGAGAATACTAAACTCCTTGTTATTCATTTTGATCTGTACAGCAATACACCAGTCAACGTTAAGCCTGATGACATTAATGACAGTGTCCAGCTTTTTGTGCCACAGGATAGCCACGCCCCCTGCTATCCTACATCTCACTATTCCCAAAGATAGGTCCGTAGTAGACTCACCTGCCCCGTGAAAATTGTCATTAAGAAAATTCAACTTTCCCAAATCCTGCTTTGGTAAAAAAGTTTCTTGCAAGCATAGAATGTCACAGTTTTATAGCAAGTTGTCCACCACTGCACGCCGGATCCTATCAGCAGCGCTATTGCCCAAACGCTGCCCGCGACAGTTAAATAATCCAACCCGCATAACGTTTAGCTAAGCAGTACAGCCATAGCCCCATTCAGTACCCTTGCCCCAGAAAAAGGTCTAGCTCTGCTAGCCCCCATCACCTCCGTTTTACGTGGTTCATAATATCGCCTCACAACCGAGCCTTCTCAGCCTGTGCTGAGTGCAACTTCATTGCACTCAGCACACACTTTAAACGAGCTATATCTGTTGCTCGCAGTGTCAATACGGTGACAGTTAATGTCACGGCCAAGTTTTTCACTTAGATATTCAGACAGTGTCTCAGCATCAAGGTCTGGCGAGAATTTGGTAGCAAAATCTCGTCAACTTCGTACGGACCACTTTTATATTCCCTTGTGCAGCAGTGCCAACAATAGGTTTCCCAACAAGCTGTTTAGATAAGGCAGACTGGCCCTCTGCCTTATTCCTCCGACCTCGGCCCTGTTTCACAACTTGACTCCATATCTGCGAATTTACAGCAGATCCTCCAGGGCTCACACAGGCACTCACGGTCCCTGATGCAGCAACCGGGTCAACACAGTTGGGATGTACATCAGCAGAAGAGCCGGGGGGGCTCGCATCCTTCACCGACACCGCACCATCCTGGCCATCACCCTGAGCTCTCCCACAGGCGGTTTCAGCGTCACTTGGTACAGCCAGTCCTCCACCATGACTCGACTCTAACTGGCGTTCTACGGCAGCAACTCTGCTGTCCATAACCCTAGCACTTTTCGACAGCTTTTGATATTGGTTGCATCCTTCTGGTTGCCTTTAAAGGCCACACACCGCTGCTTGGTTTCAGGACAGAGTTCAAACAACGTCTTTTTAGAAGTCTCCATCCATTTGGAATCGAAGGTGTTGGAGGCTACAAGGACTAGCTCATCCTGGGTCATAGTTTTAATTTGAACCGCCAGGAAGTTAAGTAACTCATCCTCTACAATAACTAGGCCGTCAACAGTCTTGTATATTGTAGGTTTTAGTCGAAGCCAGTGGTTTGAACCAGGAGCTACCGAGCCACGACACACACCATCAGCCATCTTGGTTGATGTCATGCTTTTCCGGTTAATACCCGTCCCCTTGTGTGTTATGTAGCTTTTTCTGCATGTAAATGATCTGCAGAGTCACAAACCCTCAAAGTACACCCTGTGGCGAGTAAAACTCTGACCTGTCTATGCTGCCCCAGAACGCCTCGTTGGACATTTCTCTTCCGTTTTTTTCTTCTTGGGTATACTGACGTATTGGGTATACTGACGTATTGGGTATACTGACGTATTGGGTATAACAGCTCCGCGGATTGATCCTCACTCACACACACATACTCATCCAGCCTTATCTTTTCTCAGCCGCAATACTCCGCAGGAGCTCCAACAAGGCGTGTAGGACAGAGTGAATACACAAACTATACAGAGATGCTGTTTGAGAAACCAATGTGAGTTTGGAACATTGAACAATGTAAATCTATCCTAGTCGACCTCAACAATGGAATTATGATCAGTAGAAATGGCCATGACATGGGACCTTTAAAGTAATCATGTTCAACACCTTGTTCTTTTGACAATTGTAAATCCTGCACATGCTGCACATCTGTTCTGCACACTTCCTCTTTTAAATCAGCACAGTTCTCCACTTTGAATAAAGTGTATAGTATTTTATAGTAGTTTTTAAAATAGTTTTTTTTAAATAGCTGTCCTAACATTCCTATTTGTATTTTATTTAGTTTTTCTAAGATGCTTCTTTCTGTGTCTTTGTATGCACCACATATACTAAAGCAAATTCCTGTGTAAACCTACTTGGTAAATATAACCGATTCTGATGAATATGTGTTTCCTGTTTCCTGCAGACGTCCAGCAGCTGGTGGTGGTTAAAGAAGAGGTTCCCCCTGAGCAGCAGGAGTGGAGCTCCAGTCTGGACCAGGAGGACCCAGAGCCCCCCCCACACATTAAAGAGGAACAGGAGGAACTCTGGAGCAGTCAGGAGGGAGAGCAGCTTCAAGGGCTGGAGGAGGCTGATATCATCAAGTCCACATTCACTCCTGTCCCTGTGAAGAGTGAAGATGATGAAGAGAAACCTCAGTCCTCTCAGCTTCATCAAAGACAAACTGAACACCTGGAAACAGAAGCTGATGGAGAGGACTGTGGAGGACCAGAACCAGCCAGGAACTCAGATCCAGAGAGACATTTACAACCTGAGACTGAGGACAACCCTGGAGACTCTTCTGAACCTGACACTGAAGACTCTTTTGAACCTGACACTGAAGACAGTGGAGATTGGAAGGAGACCAGAGAACCAGGTTCAAACTGTCAGAGAAATAAACAAGACCCTGTCAGTGATTCAGGACGTAGTGCAGGAGAGAAAACATTCGGCTGTTCAGTCTGTAAGAAATCTTTTGTACAGAGTAGTCATTTAAAAGAGCACATAAGAATCCACACAGGAGAGAAACCATTTAGCTGCTCAGTCTGTAAGAAATATTTTAAAAACGGAGGACATTTAAAATGCCACATGAGAATCCACACAGGAGAGAAACCATTTAGCTGCTCAGTCTGTAAGAAATCTTTTGCACAGAGATCAGATTTAAAGGGCCACATTAGAATCCACACAGGAGAGAAACCATTCAGCTGCAGTGTTTGTGACAAAAGATTTACACACAGTTATCAGGTCCAAAGACATAAGTGTGTTGGCTCAAGACGTAGTGCAGGAGAGAAACCATTCAGCTGCTCAGTCTGTGAGAAATCTTTTGCACAGAGAGGAAATTTAAAGGCCCACATGAGATTCCACACAGGAGAGAAACCATTTAGCTGCAGTGTTTGTGACAAAACATTTACACACAGTTATCAGGTCAAAAGACATAAGTGTGTTGGTCGTCAGTCCTCACAGCTTCATCAGACTCAAACTGAGGAGAACAGAGAGGCAGAGCCTCCAGCCAGCAGCTCAGCTGAACACATGGAAACAGAAGCTGATGGAGAAGACTGTGGAGGACCAGAACCAGCCAGGAGCTCAGATCCAGAGAGACCTTTACAACCAGAGACTGAAGACCACCCTGGAGACTCTTCAGAACCTGACACTAAAGACAGAGAAGACGATGATTTTTGGAAACAGAGCAGTGAAAGCCTGTCAGATTTAAGCTTTTTGACATTTTTCCACAGTGGTGACACATTCAACAGCAATCACCAGGGAGAGGAATTGTTTACGGAAGGTGGAAATCAAAACCAGCATATTCCGAACCAGGAGGACCCAGAGTCCCCCCCACACATGAAAGAGGAACAGGAGGAACTCTGGAGCAGTCAGGAGGGAGAGCAGCTTCAAGGGCTGGAGGAGGCTGATATCACCAAGTCCACATTCACTCCTGTCCCTGTGAAGAGTGAAGATGATGAAGAGAAACCTCAGTCCTCTCAGCTTCATCAAAGACAAACTGAACACCTGGAAACAGAAGCTGATGGAGAGGACTGTGGAGGACCAGAACCAGCCAGGAACTCGCATCCAGAGAGACATTTACAACCAGAGACTGAGGACAACCCTGGAGGCTTTTCTGAACCTGACACTGGAGAAACTTCTGAACCTGACACTGAAGACAGTGGAGATTGGAAGGAGACCAGAGAACCAGGTTCAAACTCTCAGAGAAATAAACAAGACCCTGTCAGTGATTCAGGACGTAGTGCAGGAGAGAAATCATACTGCTGCTCAGTCTGTAAGAAATCTTTTAAACAGAGTAGTCATTTAAAAGAGCACATAAGAATCCACACAGGAGAGAAACCATTCAGCTGCTCAGTCTGTAAGAAATCTTTTAAAAACGGAGGACATTTAAAGGGCCACATGAGAATCCACACAGGAGAGAAACCATTCAGCTGCGCCGTCTGTAAGAAGTATTTTACACAGGGTGGATATTTAAAAGGCCACATGAGAATCCACACAGGAGAGAAACCGTTCAGCTGCTCACTCTGTAATAGATCTTTCGCACAGAGAGTAGCATTAAAGGGCCACATGAGAATCCACACAGGAGAGAAACCATTTAGCTGCTCAGTCTGTAAGAAATCTTTTGCACAGAGATCAGCATTAAAAGGCCACATTAGAATCCACACAGGAGAGAAACCATTCAGCTGCAGTATTTGTGGCAAAAGATTCACCAGGAGTCATCAGGTCAAAAGCCATAAGTGTGTTGGTCGTCAGTCCTCACAGCTTCATCAAACTCAAACTGAGGAGAACAGAGAGGCAGAGCCTCCAGCCAGCAGCTCAGCTGAACACATGGAAACAGAAGCTGATGGAGAGGACTGTGGAGGACCAGAACCAGCCAGGAACTCAGCTACAGAGAGACATTTACAACCAGAGACTGAGGACAACCCTGGAGACTCTTCTGAACCTGAGACTGAAGACAGTGCTGATTGGAAGAAGACCAGAGAACCAGGTTCAAACTCTCAGAGAAATAAACAAGGCCCTGTCAGTGATTCAAGACGTAGTGCAGGAGAGAAACCATTCAGCTGCTCATTCTGTGAGAAATCTTTTGCGCAGAGAGGAAATGTAAAGGGCCACATGAGAATCCACACAGGAGAGAAACCATTCAGCTGCAGTGTTTGTGACAAAATATTCACCTGGAGTAGTCATGTCAAAAGACATAAGTGTGTTGGTCGTCAGTCCTCACAGCTTCATCAAACTCAAACTGAGGAGAACAGAGAGGCAGAGCCTCCAGCCAGCAGCTCAGCTGAACAAATGGAAACAGAAGCTGATGGAGAGGACTGTGGAGGACCAGAACCAGCCAGGAACTCAGATCCAGAGAGACATTTACAACCAGAGACTGAGGACAACCCTGGAGAGTCTGCTGAACCTGAGACTGAAGACAGTGATTATTGTTAGGTTCAAACTCTCTGGGTAACTCCCAGTAAGTCGTATATAATGCGATAACTAGACTGCAAAAAATGTTTGGTCCAAGTAAAGAGAGGACTGTGGAGGACCAGAACCGGCAACATTTATAACCAGAGACTGAGGAGGTTTCCATATTGGGTTAAATAATTAAAACAAAAGTGTGACATGGGTCTGTTTGTGTGTATTCTCTTCTGCTTCTGTTGGTATGATATAAAAGCACCAGAGAGAAAAACAGGTCTTAGGGTTCTTAACTTGGAATCTCTCCATAGATCGTACTTACCCCTGTCATCATGAGGAAATGCCTCTGGAGATATGCAGGGAGTTTTAACAAAAAGGAAAACATGTAAATTAATAATTAATACCAGAGACTAAAACATTGTATAACTGTCACATTGTAACCAGATGAAAGTAGTTATAGTCATAACCTTTCCGTTGCATTAGTATGCATAGCTATGATTTACGACCCCCTAATAAACCTTTGATGTCTGGTGTACTGACAGGTGTCTAATATTTGTTTGACGTGTGTTGACGGGTGTCCTGTTCTATGACGTGTTTATGGTGTCTGATGTTTATGAGGTTTTGTTTTATGGTATATTAAGACTTTGATGTCGATCCTTTGATGAGTGTATGATCACCTGTTGGCGTGGGAACTAATATGTAATTGCTTTATTAACTTTAAGGAAGTTGTGTGTTTTGGTAATACTAATTTAAAGATCTCAATGACTCATTGATCTTGTCTTTTTATTGTTTAATTACTTTAACTATAAGGAAGCCCCTTTGAAGTTGTGTTTGGGTAATAATTGAAAGAGCTTTTTTATTGTTTAATTTAACTGTAAAACGATATCTTTGTATTGAATAGTTTCTGAGCTTAAATGTTCTGTGAGTAGCTCTGCAGCTTGAATAAAATGTTAAATGTTTTTGATGTCACATCCTTCTCCCCCCTCCTCACCCCTCACATCCTAGTTCCCCCTCCCCCTCCTCACCCCTCACATCCTAGTTCCCTTCACCCTAGTCCCCCCTCCCCCTCCTCACCCCTCACATCCTAGTTCCCCCTCCCCCTCCTCACTCCTCACATCCTAGTTCCCCCTCCCCCTCCTCACCCCTCACATCCTAGTCCCCCCTCCCCCTCCTCACCCCTCACATCCTAGTCCCCCCTCCTCACCCCTCACATCCTAGTCCCCCCTCCCCCTCATCACCCCTCACATCCTAGTCCCCCTCATCACCCCTCACATCCTAGTCCCCCTCATCCCTCTTGCCCCCTTCCTGGGGTTGAAGAGATGTGTTTTCAAAATCTAAATAAGATCAAAAAGAAAATATTTGGGGACATCCCCTTCTGTCTCTCACTAAGGTATTAAGGGCACTTTAGATCCAAAAGAGCATGTAACAGTCTTAACATTAAAAGTAATCACACCTCACACCTCACACACACACACACACACACACGCTAGATTGTGCCGCCTGATAGGTGTTGTGATTTGAACACTTATTTTGACTGAAACTAGGCAGTTTTTGATAACTTTACAGATGTTGCTTTTCTCTCTCACCAAGGTACTGTGAGATACACTTTTATGTATTCAAAACCTTAAACTAGAAAAATGAAGTACATTGTCTGAACAGATTTTCTTTAAGACTGACTCTTAAAGGCAATTTGAGTAAGACAATACAGTTGTGTTAACATTAATGCTTTTTTTCTTTTGTTTGTGTTACTAAGATACTTTTAGATACACTTTGAAGTGTGCAACACTTTACAACTGGTTTTTAAAGGCAGTTTGTGATTTTAGGGCTGGTTCAGTGAGTCAATGCAGTTTTGATCATTTCAAGTTTCAAGGCTGTTTTAGTCATGTGCACGTTAGCTACAGTGTAGATATGGCAATGAAAAACGTAGGTCACAGGATCCTCCAACAGTACAACATATGTGTGTATATATATATGTGTATATATATGTGTATATGTGTGTATATATATGTATATATATATGTGTGTATATATATATATATATATATATACAATTCATTTCTAAAAGGATTTCACATTACTATAATTATATTTGTATTTAAATGTAGGCTACATTTTACACCTACACGGAACACAAAAGCAGGACCAACCATCATACATTGAATTCCTTGACTAACAAGAGAAAGATTCATTTAATTAAATAAATATGTAACAACAAATGGGCCGGTTCTAAGGGGTTATTCAGTTAAGCCCGATGATGCACGTCATCATTAACAGACGTCGTTTAAGAGTGACGTTTGAGTGAACGAGGACATCCCAATTAATACCTGAGGACTCCTCTGTCCTCGCGTCTCCTCCTCGTGTCTCTCGCTCGCATCTTACGGAGGCGGAGCCAAGACGCAAGGAAGGGACGCACTGACACTCAGAAAGTGGATCAGTCCAGTTCTGAAGTCTTTACACTGGTTCCTCACTGACACTAAGAAAGAGGATCAGTCCAGTTCTGAAGTCTTTATACTGGTTCCTCTCTAACACTAAGAAAGTGGATCAATCCAGTTCTGAAGTATTTATACTGGTTCCTCACTAACACTAAGAAAGTGGATCAGTCCAGTTCTGAAGTCTTTACACTGGTTCCTCACTAACACTAAGAAAGTGGATTAATCCAGTTCTGAAGTCTTTTCACTGGTTCCTCACTAACACTAAGAAAGTGGATCAGTCCAGTTCTGAAGTCTCTACACTGGTTCCTCACTAACACTAAGAAAGTGGATCAGTCCAGTTCTGAAGTCTCTACACTGGTTCCTCACTGACACTAAGAAAGTGGATCAGTCCAGTTCTGAAGTCTTTACACTGGTTCCTCACTAACACTAAGAAAGTGGATCAATCCAGTTCTGAAGTATTTTCACTGGTTCCTCACTAACACTAAGAAAGTGGATCAGTCCAGTTCTGAAGTCTCTACACTGGTTCCTCACTAACACTAAGAAAGTGGATCAGTCCAGTTCTGAAGTCTCTACACTGGTTCCTCACTAACACTAAGAAAGTGGATCAATCCTGTTCTGAAGTCTTTTCACTGGTTCCTCACTAACACTCAGAAAGTGGATCAGTCCAGTTCTGAAGTCTCTACACTGGTTCCTCACTAACACTAAGAAAGTGGATCAGTCCAGTTCTGAAGTCTTTACACTGGTTCCTCACTAACACTAAGAAAGTGGATCAATCCAGTTCTGAAGTCTTTTCACTGGTTCCTCACTAACACTAAGAAAGTGGATCAATCCTGTTCTGAAGTCTTTTCACTGGTTCCTCACTAACACTCAGAAAGTGGATCAGTCCAGTTCTGAAGTCTCTACACTGGTTCCTCACTAACACTAAGAAAGTGGATCAGTCCAGTTCTGAAGTCTTTACACTGGTTCCTCACTAACACTAAGAAAGTGGATCAGTCCAGTTCTGAAGTCTCTACACTGGTTCCTCACTAACACTCAGAAAGTGGATCAGTCCAGTTCTGAAGTCTCTACACTGGTTCCTCACTAACACTAAGAAAGTGGATCAGTCCAGTTCTGAAGTCTTCACACTGGTTCCTCACTAACACTAAGAAAGAGGATCAATCCAGTTCTGAAGTCTTTACACTGGTTCCTCACTGACACTAAGAAAGTGGATCAGTCCAGTTCTGAAGTCTTTACACTGGTTCCTCACTAACACTAAGAAAGTGGATCAGTCCAGTTATGAAGTCTTTACACTGGTTCCTCACTAACACTAAGAAAGTGGATCAGTCCTGTTCTGAAGTCTTTACACTGGTTCCTCACTAACACTAAGAAAGTGGATCACTCCTGTTCTGAAGTCTTTACACTGGCTTCCTGTGTGTCAAAGAATTGATTTAAAAATACTGCTGCTCGTTTATAAAGCTTTGAATGGTTTAGACCCAAAATACATTTCTGACCTCCTGCTAAATTATGAACCATCCAGATCTCTCAGGTCTTCAGGGACTGGTCAACTTTCTGTCCCCAGAGTCAGAACTAAACATGGAGAAGCAGCGTTCAGTTATTATGCTCCAAATATCTGGAACAAACTCCCAGAAACCTGCAGGTTCGCTGCAACTCTGACTACTTTTAACTCAGATTGGTGTTTCAGATTGGTGCTTCCCGTACCGTCGTGTTTTTTCAGCCGTGCCGACACCTTTTCGGCCGAAAACCCACCGAAATCACTCTGATTGGCTGTTCAGCTAGCGAATCAGTGCATGAGAAGCGAAACGGAAGTGAGGGACCCAAACAAACTATTAAGAAGACAAATCTGAGATTTAATTTAACTCCAGCTCTCGACACAGGTTCGGGAAAGCCCTGTGAGCTTCTCGCTGTAGAGTGAACATGGAACGCACACGCTATTTGTTGTTTGTTTATATCAAGCAGTCTGTTCTTCTTCTCTCGGTTATCACGCAGTCTGTCTTCCGGTTGCCTCTTTTGAATGACGAATACACACTACCCCTGCTGAAAAAACCAGCTTAGACCAACAAGGCTGGTCCAGTCAATATTAGGCTGGATTAGTTAGCTGGTTTAGAGGGGTTTTGGACACTTTAGCTGGTCAGGATAGCTGGTTTGGTCACAGTGGTCTAGCTGGTCACCTTTAGCTGGTCAGGATAGCTGGTTTGGTCACAGTGGTCTAGCTGGTCACCATTAGCTGGTCAGGATAGCTGGTTTGGTCACAGTGTTCTAGCTGGTCACCATTAGCTGGTCAGACTGGTATGATCTTGAGTAGAACTTTAACTGGGATTACTTGATGGTTAAACTGGTCATATATGATGATGAAACACTCTCACCCAATTGCAGTAGCTCAATGAACATCTATCATTTCAGATCAGAGCACCTACCTTACCAGAAAGGTACCAGAAAGTATAGAATGTCTGTAAATAAATTCTCATACATCAAATG